CGTTTTGTTCAAGGGTCAACTGTATAACCAACTGTGTGACTGGGTGGATGATGATCCCATTAATTGAGACAGGGAACAAAAAAGGGGACAAGTTTGATAGGAAAGATAATTAGTTTGGTTTTGGACATGTTGATGGTGAGGTGCATATAGGAGATCCAACGATTGAAAATTCAAACTTGGAGGGAGAACACTTGGGTCTGGACATAAAGGTTTGGGAATTATTAATATATAGGTAGATGATAGAGGTCATGGGAGTAGATGAGGGCACTTGGGAGAGCACATACAATGAAAAGAGGGCCAAGGCCCCTTTTAAGTTTTCTTTAGTGAACTCTACTATTTTTTTGTGTGTGTGTGACAGAGTCTCACTTTGTTGCCCAGGCTAGAGTGAGTGCCATGGTGTCAGCCTAGCTCACAGCAACCTCAAACTCTTGGGCTCAAGCGATCCTCCTGCCCCAGCCTCCCCAAGTAGCTGGGACTACAGGCATGCGCCACCATGCTCGGCTAATTTTTTCTATATATAGTAGTTGGCCAATTAATTTCTTTCATTTATAGTAGAGATGGGTCTCGCTCATGCTCAGGCTGGTTTCGAACTCCTGACCTCGAGCAATCTGCCCGGCTCAGCCTCCCAGAGAGCTAGGATTACAGGCGTGAGCCACCGCGCCCGGCTCTACTACTCTTTGTTTGATCATATTATTATCATATCCTCTGATATTTTAATTATAGATGAGGGTATAACTGTTACTTAAGCTGTGTATGCAGTTGCATTAACCTAGCCCTAGTTGTATGGTAAGCTTAGATTTGAAATGGTAGCTAAAAAAGATAAATCTAGCACAGCTTTAATGAAATTAGGCAAGAGGACTTAGCAATAAAATGTGTTCTTGTTCTTTGGGTATTTGTAGTCTACTTTTCAGGAAATTATATAGCAACCAAACTGTTTATTTTGTTTTTGACAAGAATTATGATGTTGTGAAAAGAAAGCTTAGGGAGTTTAAAGACCTATCCTTACTAGTTTTTTGACTTTGGTAAAATCTCTGATCTTTTATTTCTTTGCAGTAAAATATAGTGGCTCCTGATTTGTTTTCCTCATAAGATTGCTTAACATTCAGTTGAGATGATACAATTAAAATCACATTGCATTTTAGAAATGGATTATCATTTGCTAATTGCAGCAAAATTGATAAGGTGAAAAGTGTTTCTGTGCAGGGGTTAAAAAGTTCTAATGGGGCAGAATTCTATGTTTTTGAGATGTACTGGATTGGATTGTTTATCATTTTCTAGAGAAACCAAAATTTGTTTTCCAGGTCCCTAATCATAGCCCAGTCTGTAGCTGAATGGTCAGACTGTATTTCCAGTTAGTTACTTTTCTGTAATGTAAAGTGTTGTTTTTAGTAACTTATTTTTATTTCATTTTAAAAACTCTAGATTCAGGAGGAATCAGATATGTGGAAAATAAGAGAACTGGAGAAACAGATGGAAGATGATTACCATGGGACTAAAAGGAAAATGTTACCCAGCAGTTCAAGGTGAAATTGCAGCTCTGAGTATCAAAATAATTCTCATATTTTTCAGAATTATCAACTTTTGTTTAAAAACACTTTGGTATTTTAAGGAGAGATGAATTCAGTTCTGTGAGATCTTAAGCCTTTCCTCTGTCATAAATCTAGACCCAAGTGTAAAGATAATGGCTATGGTACATATGGCCCCATTCTTTGTACTTATTTGCATTGGAGAGTTTTTAAATTCTACCTGAACAAGTATAAATGTGTAGGGTTCTGTGGATTTTGACCTTGCCTGATAGCTTTTAACTTAAGATTTTCTAACTGGAATCTTATGGTCACTTAGCCAATCAATCATTCCTTCTTCCTATTAATCTTTCATTCTTTCAGCCTTTTCTTTATCCCATCTACTCACTATCTTCACCAGGTCAACAGCCTTTCATATTACCTTCTTCCTCTTATTTTTTTTTTTTTCTTAGAGATGGGGTTTCACTTTGTTGTCCAGGCTGGTCTCAAACTCCTGGCTTCAATCGATCCTCCTGCCACAGCCTCCCAAAGTGCTGGGATTACAGGTGTGAGCCACCACATCTGGCCCCATATTACCTTCTTAATAATTTCAGTATGGAAAAAAAAAAAAAAAAGAAGAAGAAAAAAAATAATTTGTGAATGTGAAGGATTATGTAGGCTTAGTTGTCTTTCACCTTTGGAGGTATAGGAATGTCCGAGTAATTGGGAACATATCTTGGGCCTCATATGCCCATACATGTAAGAGCTACATGTATAAGAAATGACTATAAAGTAATAATCTTGATTTCTAAAGCCACCTAGGGTGATCACTAGTTAAGAGTGAGGTATTTAAGGGAGAGTGAGTGTGCCTGTGTGGACTTTGGTGTGTGAATGGCTTCGGACAAGAAGTATGTAAGGTATCCCTCATGAAGAAGGCAGAATCTCAACATAAAAATAAATATCTTCTAGTTTTTTTCTCTCCGAAGGTGGTCCTATGCGAATTTATAAGTGTAGATGCTGATTTGTATTGGTTAATTCCAAGTGGCATTTCCAGAAATAAGGTGATTGCTATTTTAGAATAGACTCTATTAATTCCTGTCATGGTGAATAAATATTTTAAAAAATGAATTAAATTTTTAAAAATTGACAAAAAATGAATAATCTTTAAAACTTAATCTTTTTAGGAGCAGGGATTCTGATAGTCTCAAAAGCTGTTACATTCCTACCAGTTCAACTAGAACAATGCCTGGCACCTAGGAAGCCCTTAAAAATTTTTGATAACTGATTAGTTGACTTACTGGCTGATTAGTCGACACTGTAAACAGAGGCTGGAGCAGTGGTTCTGGGTTAGGGCTTGTTCTCACTTGACTTCACTAATAGCACGTTGCTGGTTTGCGAGAAGGGAAGTGTATTTTAGAATCTAGGGTAGTTTGAAGTGTCCCCAGCTGTGATTATGCTCTGCTTCCCTCTTTGTATACCCTCCTAGTTGAATCAGTGAGTGAACTATAGTTCAGAAGTGAGTTTGTCTATACTCTGCAATAGCAAGGGTAGTAATGGTTAGATTTTTTTCCCCCCACTGGACTGTAGAAACGTATAGAGAGGAACAGATAATATCTTTCACATTTTTTTTAACAGTATCAGGTTTTTTGGTTCCCCTCAGCTTGTTCCATGAGTTTTGTGCATGATGTTCCATAAACTCACAGATTGCTTTTAAATCTAAAAGTTCCGCTTTCTCTTGTAGCCGGATGCGTAGTGATGGTTTTGATGAAGAAAGTCAAAGAGGCTATTGGAGGCCAAAGAATGACATTTCTGGGACACTGGAAGATGATTTTCTTAAGGCTAAATCCTGGAACAAGAAGTTTTATGATTATGAAGCTAATATGCCAGACAGGTTTGTGACTAATTCCTATGACCATTAATAATTAGCCTTAGAATATGTACTTGTCAAAATTGTCCCTACAAAAATTTGTACACAAGTATTCATAGCAGCATTATTCATAATGGCCAAACAGTAGAAATTCAAATGTCTATCAGCCAATGAATGGATAAACATAATGTGGTATATCTGTACAATATTATTTTGCAGTAAAAGGAATGAAGTAGTGATATGTGGTTCAGCATGGATGAACCTTGAAAACATTATACTAAGTGAAAGAAGTCAAGTCACAAAAGACCACATATTGTATGATTCCATTTATGTGATATATCCATACACATTTTATGGTTCTATTTATGTGATAGGCAAATCCATAGAGACAGAAAGTAAATGAATGGTTGTCATGGGCTAGAAGCACTACACTTTAAAGGTGAATTTTATGTTATGTGAATATACTTCAATAAAGTTATTTAAAAACAATTGTCCCAATATAGACGGCATTATATTATGTTTTTGGAAAAGTGCTTCACAGCTAACAGTGTGAGAATTCCTCAGTGTTTCTTAAGGAAGACAATGGCAAGTTCTATTACAGATGGACAAAAGAATCTTATATCTGCGATGGTAATATATAGTACATAAAATCTAGCTGTTACTGAGCTATATGGGCTTGGGTCTACCATATCTCTATTTTCTTCATTTTATGTGTATTTCTATGTATGCATGTACTCCAAAATCTAATTTTCTTTTAATTTCCAGAAATGTATGCATTGCTTTAACAGTACATGTAATGTATCATCTTACAGATGGGGCCACAGTGGTTATAAAGAGTTATACCCTGAAGAATTTGAAACAGACAGGTAAGACAAATGAGCTTACTAAAAGAAAGAAACAGATTATTACAAAGTCTGTACTATAAGTTGATTTCCTAAACTTTTACAAAGGATATAATATTTGCCACTGAAACTGTAGCTAGAGAAGAAAAAAGGTGATTTAGTTGGTAGGCAGTCACTATTTTGCCATTCTCTGGTTGATGTTTGGCCATGTCTATAAGCATTTTGGTTTTTATATGTAGTATTCCACACAGTAACTCACTATGGCAGCTTAGAATTTTATATATATATATATATATGTAATTTTGAGACACAGTCTTACTCTGTTGCTGAGGCTAGAGTGCATTGGTGTCATCATAGCTCACTGCAGCCTCCAACTCCTGGGCTCGAGTGATCCTTCTGCCTCAGCCTCCCCAGGTCTTGCTGTTGCCCAGGCTGGTAGCTTAGAATGTGTATCTTCATTTTAAAGATGAGGAAACAAAAACTTAGTGCGAATAATAAAGTCTTATAGTATATGTCACGGTTCTGATTTAAAATTCAGATGTTAACCCCAGTTTCTTATCTAGAATAATAGAAATATAAATACACTATTTCTTTTTTTACATAAAAGTTTCTCTTTTATACTTTTTTATTAGTAGTGATCAGCAAGACATTACCAATGGGAAAAAAACATCTCCCCAGGTAAAGTCATCTACCCATGAATCCCGCAAACACAAGAAGTCAAAGAAATCCCATAAAAAAAAGCAGAAAAAAAGGTCACACAAAAAACAGAAGAAAAGCAAAAAGGAAGCCACGGATATAACAGCAGATTCTTCAAGCGAGTTCTCAGAAGAAACTGGGGCTTCGAATAGCAGGAAAAGGAAACAACCACATAAGCGCAAGAAAAAATCCAGGAAAAAGTCTCTCAAAAAATCTGCTTCATTCTTAGAGGCAGAAAATGATGCTTCCCAGTCAGATGATTCAGCATCCAGCAGTTCTGAGGAAAGTGAGGAAAGAGACACTAAGAAAACCAAAAGGAAAAAGAGAGATAAAAAAGTCCATATCCCTGTAGCTAACAATGAAATACAGGAGAGGACAAATAAACGCACAAATTGGAAAGTGGCTACAGATGAAAGGTCTGCTGAGAGCTCAGAGGATGACTAAATGAGAAAGGAACATTCTTGTTTCCCATGTGACTGGTTATTTATACAGCTCTTACTCCTTGGGGTTTTGCCAGGGACTCCCTTTCAACACGGGGCCTGAGGTCAGAGCTGTCTGGTGCCATCTACATATGTTCTGACAGACTTCTTGTCTTCTATTTTGGCCTGTTAAACTTGATCCCCTTTTCTTGTTAATAGGGAATCTGGTATTTTGTTATGAAGGTTTCTTGAAGAGATTATTTTTTGCAATGAATCACATTTAGTGTAGAGTACATATACAGCAAATTAAAGGATCCAGAAAGCTGAATCCAATAATGACCTGGGTATACCAATTGGAATATTGAATTTGGGGAAATCTAGGGCTGGGATCAAGAGGTAGATTGGAACCAGTGCTGTGTAGAAAGGTATGACAAGGGAACACTATGTTGCTCTCTGTTTATAGAGCAGGTGTCACAACTGGCTTGTCTTTAGCCTTGGTGCTTTGATCCTTCTGTATTTTGACCCCACAGGTGTGGTCCAATTTACTTAATAAGGAAATGGGCTTAAAGAACAAACCTTTCCCCTTCATGGTAGCATCCACAGACAAATGTTATTAGAAGGGACTAGGGTTTTCTCAAATTTCCCTGCTGGACAGGGCCTCAAGCTACACTTTGTATGCCTCCAAACATAGTAATTGGTTAGTAAATGGTTTTTCAGTTCCATTGCTATATATTGCCTAAACAGACTTGTGTTCAAAATTATTTCTTCAGATGACCCTCTAGCAAATGGGGAAGAATTAGGAATTAGTCATGCTGTCAATGGTGCTCTGAACAGGATTCAGGGCAACAACTGCCATTTAAATCTTGTCTTCCTTGTTAATTTCTCAATCTGTTAATGAACTTTTAGTTTTCCCTGAAACTAAGTTGCATCATTTCCAAAATGAAACAGGCTTCTCAGGGACATATCCACTTCTGTCTTTGGATTAAAGCACCAAGCAGAGACCACGTTATTTCCCTTTGCTATACTGTGATCCCTACTATGTTAATTCTTAAGCAACCAAAATATAACTGAAAGAAGGCTGGCAGAACACAAGTGAATTTCTTCACTATGGGAGAAAAGATCAAGTGACACATTGTCATTTTTTTCTGGTTGTCACTTTGTGGGCTAAGTAAAAAGTTTGAAAACTCACACTTTTGGTCTTGGTTCTGCCACCAATGGGTTATGAGGAGGTCCAGAGCAGGTAAGTTAACCTCCCTGGCCTTACTTTCCCCATATGTTAATAAAGAATTACTTCATGGTAGCATGACAGTATAAGACACCAGCAATAGAATACAACCATGATGAAATTCCATTAAGTGGTATTTTATACTTCTATTAAATTTGTTCTTTTTACAGAACAGATTTCTAATAAAGTACTTGGTCTTATGTGGTTGGCCAGAGGTGCCCTATCCTTTGACTACAAGCTGGTGCTCCCTATTGGGATATTTATTTGAAATATCAATACTTTGGTACTCAACTGTCAATGTCATGGTGTATATTTTTATCTTTGGGACTGGTAGGGGCTTAAAGGAGGCAGAACAGTCTATAATTACTACCTCTTAACCTAAAACAACTGTTTTGTTCCTGGAGCAAGTAAAATCTTTGCTAGAAGGAGTCTTTAGCATATATTTTTTAGCATTGTTTCTGTACTCTGAAAGTACTGACTACAAGCAGAGACTCAGGAACCAGAGAAATAAGGCATTCCAGAAATTTGTCTCTGTTTGGGTCTTGACCTTCCCCTCCTCCCTTACTAGCAGGTTTACTGCTTTCCCAAGGAATACACATCTTGCCTGTTTTGGGGGTTTTTTTGGCCAGGTTTAACCTTTTCTTGGTCATGTATAAGCAATAAAGCTGTTTTCTGTTCTTCACTTTTCTCAACCCCAATTTCTTTTCTATACCTTAGGCTTTGATGGTTTTTCCAACTCCCTTAATTATGGCTTGGGGTGGCTCTTAAAAACCTACCACCTCCCATTTGCACTACTGGCTGTGAACATTTATTTCTAGTGTTCCTGCCAATCAGAGGCTATATAAAATCCTACAATGGGATTAAAAAAGAGTTGGAGAATTCACATTTATTGAATAACTGATGTGATACAACCTGGAATTTCTGAATTCCAAATAAATAAATTTCACTTTTGGGACATATGATCTGTTATTTTTAGCACCAACAGACCTCACAATGGGTTAACAACCTTCCCCTGCTGGCCCTTCAATCTGCTTTAATAACAAGTCCTTTGCTGCTTCAGTCATTCTCCCAGGGGATGGCCTACTGTCCTCCTTTCTGCACAATTTGGGCAAACCGACTGGTGATGGCAAGAGTGGTGTCAATGAAGCGGTCCACACAGCTGGAGAGACAATTTTCAGTGCGAGAGTCTAGGCGATTCCCTGGCTTCTCCACACATTTATCCCAGCATAGCTCCATGAAATGATGCACCTAAGAGAAAAGAAAAATAGTAATCACTGGGGTCTGCAGATGGGCCTAAAAAAAACTGTTCATTTTAAAATTTTCTTTTCATTTTCATCACCTGACAAAACCATTCTTTCAATCAACAAACCATGGAGTCACTTTGGGCTCTTTTCATTTCCTAATTTGTCACCAATATTGGCCCAGATCCTCATCCCTACAGATTATATATAAATTCCCAGGTGGGACTAATACCCTCTTTTATATTCCCCAAAGCAGCCAGCACCAGTGTAAACTAGGAAGGGAGGGTGCCAATTCATTCCCCCAAACAATTGCACTCATTGCATTCCCAACTTACCTTCTAGAGAAGGTAATTCTTAAGTTCTTAGCCTTTTGGGGTCATGGACACATTTGAGAATCTGATGAAGCTTATCAAATATAACAAAGTTACAGAACTCGCGTCCACTTGCAAAAGAATGTTCAAGACCTGAGGATTTCTAACCAGGGTTCTTGCTACTCACCCTCCCTGCACCCACCCCTCCCCTCCAAAAAGGGAGAAAACCATCTTACCAAGAGCTTCCTCTTTGGGAGACTGGGTACTAAACAATTCTCCATAAGGATGGCTATGATTACCTCCATTTAAGAGGCGTGATTAAGTAATCACTGCAAAGTCAAATATTCAGCAAGGGGCCACATCAGATTCGAACAATTTCTAAGGAGCTCCAAATCCTTGTTCCAAATCAACAGTCTACACTGAATACTTCAGAGCACCCCCCTTTATTCAATGTTCTAGTGCTCGTTTTGTTCTAGTACTCGTTTTCAAGTACATTATCGCATATGATCTTAACAGTCCAGTGAAACAGTGGGCGACAGCAAAACCAAAACCCACAGTGGATGGGTGTCTTGTCTTGAGGCACGTGGCCCGCAAGTGGCCGAGGGAGGATTCGAACCCAGATCTTACGAATGCCAGCCCAGACAGGTCGCTAACGAGGCTCCGGTGCTCTGGAGTCGGCCAAACCTCTCTCCCTGCTTTACACCTTCTCTTTTCTCCACGCCGCTCTTGCTTAGCTGGCACCTAAACGCTACTAGTCACCAGCTGCAGGAGGGCCATCACTAGTGTTTTTGTGAGGTGAATGGGAAGCAGCCGAGATCGAGCGGCCTCACTGAGCCGCCAGTATACAGAGGCCCGCGGGTGTACTTCACCCTGCTTTCCCCTCACCCTCCAGGGCTGGTACCGGTCCCCGCACCTGTGCAGTGAACTGCGCCTTCTGCTGTTCGGCCGCCACCAGGCGCTGCAACTCTGCCTCGTCCGCTTCACCCAGCTCCGCCATTGTAAGCAAAAGGATCCTGACCTTCCGACGAGTGTGTCTGCGCATGCGCTGTGGGCGCGCACCGCCTACTTGCTTCCGGTTCACTTAGTGTTTTCCTCCCCCTGGTTTTATTTCTTCATCGGTTGTCGGAGTTATCGCGTAAGTGCTTCCGGGTTGATGCATGACCTTGAACCGTCTGAAGCAACATGGCGGTTCTTTGGAGGCTGAGTGTCCTCCGCGGTGTCCAAGGAGGCAGAGGTGAGGGATCTTGGCAGCCTGAGGTGCTTAGCGCAGCATCCAGCCGGGAAGGGGGTGGGGGTGAAGACTTGTCTGCCAGGTGATGAGACCTTTTAAGAAGGGAATCCCTTTCAGGTATCTGCCGAAATCACAGCAATGACCACCACTAACGGGCTCAAATGTTTACCAGAGCTCGTGTCTCCCTGCTGTGTACTGACGTGGTGATGGGGTAATCTGAAAGAGATCTCCCTCTGGAAGTTGCAGTTTTGTTGAGACTATTCCACATAGTTCTCTTCTCGCCGTTCACTATCCTTAGAATGCTCCCACCCTGAATCGGGACAAAGGGTTAAGAGTCTGAGCTCCGGTGCCTGGTCTTGCCCATTTCCCCTGGAATTGGTGGTTGAGTGTGAAGGTGAAGGGGGATCAGTTCGAAAATCATTTAACTGGGCATTTGTGTTACGGCGGGCACGGTGGTAAGGCTGTAATACAAATGTGAATAAACATTCACAGGGAAGTTCCTGCCCTCGAAGAGCTTTTGTTCTTATAAGTAAAAACACATGCAAGCATAATTTAACATAAAGCATAAACTGTTGTGCTGTACATAAATTGCTATGCAAGTACAGAGAAAGTATTTTTAACTGTGTTTTGAAAGGATTACCCTGTCTAGGTTCCTGAAGGAGGTGTGTCTGATTTAAGTCTTGAGGATAAAAAAGGCCAAGGAAAGAAGGGCCTTACGGTTAGAACTTCTGAATGACTAAAAGCAATAATGAAGACATAGAAACTGCATTATATGTGAGAAAACAAAACAAATTGGATATGATTCGAGCATGAAGATGAAAGTGAGATGAGTCTGGAAAGGTGAACTGGTACCAAATCACAGAAGAACTTGCCTTGTAAGGAGTGTGTATTTTATCTGTAAAGGGTAACCATTGATTGAAAGGTTTGACATAGATTTGCAGTTTACACTGACCACTTTGGTAACAATGTGGTAGATGGCTATGATGGGAGATGGGGCAAGCTAAGACAGAAGTCAGGGAGACAAGATAGGACACTGTTGTAAGTAGTTCAGGCAAGGTGGCGTCTTGAACTTGAAAAGTAGTACTACAAAGAAAAATTTTCTCAGGAAATGTTAAAGAGACATATCAATAGGATTTGAAAACTGAATTTAGGGGGAAAGTCCTTCATGACTTTCAGATTATGGAGTTCAATTAAAAATGCCTGGTCTATCATTAAATAAACTGGGGAACATACAAATGGGAAACAAGTTTGGACAAGAAGGTCAGTTGAAGGATGATTTCAGTTTTTGGCATAGTGTGGAGAGGCCTTGCAGGCAGTTTAACTTCTGAAGCTCTGAAGAGATATTAAGACTGGAGATTTGTGTGTCATCAGCATATAGGCAATAGGTGAAACCATGAGAGTGGAAGAAATGGCCTGGGGTGAGGAGAGGAATGGGCTCTCCTCCCTCCTTGGAAAATCAACATTTAAGAATGAATGCAGGGCCAGGCGCGGTGGCTCACGCCTGTAATCCTAGCACTTTGGGAGGCCGAGGCGGGCGGATTGCTCAAGGTCAGGAGTTCGAAACCAGCCTGAGTGAGACCCCGTCTCTACCAAAAATAGAAATAAATTAATTGACCAACTAAAAATATATATACAAAAACTTAGCTGGGCATGGTGGCGCATGCCTGTAGTCCCAGCTACTCGGGAGGCTGAGGCAGTAGGATCACTGAGCCCCGGAGATTGAGGTTGCTGTGAGCCAGGCTGACGCCATGGCACTCACTCTAGCCTGGGCAACAAAGTGAGACTCTGTCTCAAAAAAAAAAAAAAAAGAATGAATGCAGCCTGACGCGGTGGCACGCGCCTGTAGTCCCAGCTACTCGGGAGGCTGAGATGGGAGGATCGCTTGAGCCCAGGAGTTCTGGGCTGTAGTGCGCTATGCGGATCGGGTGTCCGCACTAAGTTGGGCATCAATATGGTGACTCCCGGGAGCGAGGGACCATCTGGTTGCCTAAGGAGGGGTGAACCGGCCCAGGTCGGAAACGGAGCAGGTCAAAACTCCCGTGCTGATCAGTAGTGGGATTGCGCCTGTGAATAGCCACTGCACTCCAGCCTGGGCAACATAGCGAGACCCCGTCTCTTAAAAAAATAAAATAAAAAGAATGAATGCAGGAGAATACTGATACGAGATGGTCAGATAATCAGAAGGAGAACTAGAAGAGAGTTCTGTCAGAAAAAAGAAGGGAAGAGAGGCTACTAAAGCTAGGTAATGCTGAAAGACCTACTAAGATTAAAACTGAACAGTACCTGTTGGATGTGGCCACATAGAGATCACTGGTGACCTAAGTAAGGATACAAACAAGTCTTAGAGTTGATGAATGATTGGGAAGTAAGAAAGTAGAAATGATTTGGACAGTGCTTTAAAGAAGCAAGGTTGGAAAGGAAGGAAGGAAGACAACAGGGGAAAGAGTGCATGGGCATTAGTTAGAGGACATGAGATTAAGAGAAGCTTTGAATATATTATATCAGTTGAGGAAAAATGGCCAAAGAGAAGGAAGGAGAAATTAAAGGCACAGGAGAAAAAAATAATAATAAGTTACCTCCTTCCACCCCGAACCCCTCCTCTACATCTGAAGATAGTGACATTGTGGATTATCTCCACTGATTGCTCACAGTCAGTTACATACCAAACTCCTCGTTATACTGTTTACCCCCTTCTCCCTACACTTGACTAGTCAAAAGTAATGATAATAATAAAAAGAAATTACCTTTTTTTGATTACTTATAACATTCTGGGAATTGTGCCAAGCCTCTTGCATACATTATTTTATGCAATTTTCAACAGAGTAGTGGGAAGTATTTCCATTTTACAAATGAGGAAATTGAGGCTTAGAGAGCCTACTTAACTTAATTGCTCATCATCCCACAGCTAGTAAGATGTGTAGCTGGGTGCACTTAGGTCTGTCTATTTTGTAACTAAGAGGCAGGATCTAAAAGAGGACAGAAAGAGATGGATTCAAAAGTACAAGTGGAGATGGAAGAAGTTAATAGATGAACTTTTCCAAACTAGATTGAAGTCCTTGAGGGCAAAGAGTATGTCTTTTATCTCTCTTGTTCCAGTGCAGAGCACAATACTGAATGTAGGCCGGGCGGGGTGGCTCACGCCTGTAATTCTAGCACTCTGGGAGGCCGAGGCTGGAGGATCGCTCTCAAGGTTAGGAGTTTGAAACCAGCCTGAGTAAGAGTGAGACCCCGTCTCTACTAAAAATAGAAAGAAATTAATTGGCCAACTAACATATATATGTAGAAAAAATTAGCCGGGCATGGTGGCGCATGTCTGTAGTCCCAGCTACTCAGGAGGCTAAGGCAGAAGGATCGCTTGAGCCCAGGAGTTTGAGGTTGCTGTGAGCTAGGCTGACGCCATGGCACTCTAGCCCAGGCAACAGAGTGAGACTGTCTCAAAAAAAAAAAAAAAAAAAAATACTGCATATAGTAAATATTTGTTGGGTGAATAAGTGGAAGGAGGAAAAATGCTACCATTTTTTTTAAAATTAAAAGTGAGGTTCTTTTACATAAGTGATTTATTGATTCTCCAGTCTTTTGATGGCTACTTAGTCTGACTTCACAGTAACACGGTGAAATATATGGTATTTTCATTTTGCAAATAAAATGTTACTCCTATTTAGGGTTAAGTGGCTTGCCTATGGACATTTAGAAAGTCTGTTAATCCTGTTAAAGAAGAGGTTCTTATGATCCCCCTAATGTTTCTTTCCTCAGCTCTGTTTCTCCAAACTCCAGTGGTAAGACCTGCTCTTGTCTCAGCATTTCTCCAGGACCAACCTGCCCCAGGATGGTGTGGAGCGCAGCACATACACCTGTCACCGATCCGCCATTGTATGTTCTCTCCATCATTGCTGCTTCCTGGGCTCTGGCCATCCTCACCTGGCCTAATTGTCATGCCTTTAACAGGACTTGCTTTTTGTTGGGGGGACTCTTGTGTCCAACTCTGTCAGATGAAGACCTAGTTAACGCCTTTTGGGCAGACAGTGCCAGCATGGTTGAATGATGCCATTTATATTTGTAGAGGACCTTGTGGCCCAAGTTTTTTTAAAAATGTTTATGTTTCTTAAAAAGAAAATATCTCTGTAAGAAGAGTCTGCTCAATATAATTCTGTTGCTCTTATTTATTTAGCTAATGGAGAGTAGCCAGATATGGGTAATTGAGAATAATGGATAATTTAAAAAGTCATGTCTTGTGGACTATATCATGTATGTTTATAGCTATAATTGACTTATTTTTTTAGGTTGATTTTAAACCATATGGCATTTCCTAGATAAATGCTGTTTAGATATTCTTAAAATTAGTCTTAGAAAATCTGTTGTTGAATAATGAGTTAACTATATTTCCATTTTTAAAGTCTGGAGAGATCATATGTTATAGAGATAAAGATTTCTTTTCATTCTTGAGTCAGCCACTTAGAAAGAGTTGCATTTGAGTTTTGAGAGATTAGGCAAGTATAGTTTTTTTATAACTTTTTTACCTTTGAAAAGTTTGTTTCTAGATTCTGTGGCTTACTTTAATTACATTTAGCAGAGCACTTTTAACTTGTGGTTCATAGGAAGTTGTATATATAGATTTTTATGTATGTACTCATGTACATTTTTCTGGGAATAAGCTACATCCTTTTATCAGATTTTCAAAAGGGGTCTGTAATCAAAAGAAGATAGAGCCTCTTGAAGAAATGTTTAAAGCTCAGATTGTTTTTTACTTGCTTAATAGAAGTTTTCACATCCATACTGTATTGGGTTATTTATAAATAATGGGGCAGAAGAAGGGCTATGATCCTCAA